CCGCCCCTCCTGATGGCCAGGTGTGCCCTTGGGGGATGCTCTGCGCTCCTGCTCCCTTGGCCAGGTCCATGCCAGCCTTGCGGCCGTACGAGGTGAGGTCCGACGTGTCGGGGCTGGAGGAGATCAGGAGTTCTGATTCACATCTAAACCCCATCCCAAGCGACTTACTTTGCTTTACACCTGTATGCATATGCTGAATTTTAGACCCTGTGAGTAGTACCATTGACTTCCCACAGCATGCGGGTTCTGCCTAGAGTGATGCATTGGCAGTGCTAGGTTAACGGTTGGACTTGAATCTTAAAGGTCTTTTCCAACCTAAACGATTCTATGATTATTTATTTAGGTTTATAACAAACACACAGGAAAAAAAGTGAATAATGCGTGGATGATTAGCTTATACATTTCAGCTCACAGCTGAGAGAGATGGCAGAGCAACCCTCATTTTAAGTTCCTTAAGACAACTGCTTTTTTTCCTTCCCCCAACCCCCCCCCAAAGGTTCTGCTGTTTATCACTTAGCATTACACTAAGAAGCTACCAGGACCTGAAATTAATTTGTGCTTAAGAGCAGAGGGGCAGACCGGCCACAGAGTATATATTCATTTGAACGATAGCTTTTCAGGTAAGATGTTTTCCATAGCTGTATTTTTCAGTTTGCTTTGGTCCAAGTTACAACTGACTGACTCCGTTTGTTTCTCGCTTTCTTTAGCATTTATGAGTTTTCCAGTACCACAGGTCACGTGCCAGCCTTGCCTCGTGCGCAGCTATTAGGGGACCTTCCATAGAGGGGAAGTTGTACATGTACATATTTGTAAAATATGTTCTCTCTAAGAGATTTTAGCCACCATCGTATTCTCGAAATGTCAAAGCCTGAGATTCAGGTGAAATAAATAAGAAAAATGCATATCTTTGAATATTGAAATACAATGACACCTGGAAGTGCTTGAAACATTTGAAAGCCTTTATGGCAGTTCAACCAACTGTATCCATAAATATTTGAAGCAGTGAATTATTTCTTGAAATTTATATTTGTATGTACTATTTTGGCTTACGAATTATTGAACAATAAAGATGCTTTCCATAATAACTTCAGCTTTCAAAATACAGCACTTGACTGTGAAAAGATTTGCCTGTGGCCATCATATGATTGAGTGAGCTCCCAGCATAACACTGAGCTTCAATATCTCCTAACTCCAAATTAAGGTTTTTAACAGCATGAGGTAACTTAGATCCCATCTGTGTTTCTGCACTTCCCGAATAAATAATAAAAAAAAAAAGCTGTGCAGCAGCTACTGTTACCTTTCAGCAGAATATATGTATGACTGGTTAGAGTTCATGTTTTCAGTATGGGATCAATGCGGATAAAGTGGCCATTTAAATCCTGCTGTAGCTCTTATAAAGGGTTGCCCTGTTTAAAATACACTGGTTTGATTTTCAGTCGATGATAAGGTCACCACCCCATAGGTAACCATAGCCGGCAGCTACGCGCTGGTTCTGCTTTCTGCCAATGCCTCGTGCCTGACTGCAGGAGCGAAAACGTGGAGCAATGAACGTGCTTTTATGAGACAGAATAATTTGCGCCACTGAGCTTGCTCCGTGGAGCTGCATTTGCAGCAGGGAGTAGCTGACAGTATCAAAACATCCAAGTGACTGGGACAGTCAACAAAAGGTCCCAGTAATGTGCTGTGACCTGGGAGGGGAGCGTTCTGCATTTCTGGAGCTGTCACGGGCACATTAGAACTGAGGTATGCTTTCAGTCGAGCAAGAACTAGCACAGTGATATTTTTTTATTGAATTTGAGTATGATTCCCATTGACATTTATTAAGGAAGCTGAAATTATTCTAAAATCCTCCCCAAAATATTTGAGCAAAAGTGAGGCATTCAATTTTTTTTTCATTTTTTATGTATTCGCAAGTGAGCAGGAAAGTAATATTACAGAAAACTATATAAAACACTGACGTGTGTTTCTGACTGTTTATCAATGTTACTGATAGTGATCACCAAATAATAATGATTCAGGCTCTGTTATGGGTTGCATGACATTATAATCTGATTCAATGTGCTTTTCATTTTTAGGATATATTACTTTTCAGATAAACTGAGAACTGAAAATCTCCAAGAAAGGATAGCGGAATGTAAATTTATGAAGTCTAGACAGCCAGCCGAAAACTGATTTTCTACACCTTATAAAGAAGTAGACTGTAAGCCAAATCTTTATTTAGTCTGAATATTTCCATAGTTTCCAGCTGGTTGCAGAGAACTGCTGTGCTTTGATTCAGCTGATAGTAAAACTAAGAACGCACAAATCATTTTTATCAGGCAACAAGTACAAATGCTTCTCTGTTAAGTAAACTGAAGTGGATAAATCCTTAGCTCCACACTCAACCGGAGTGTTTCCACTGCAGCTGAGGGCTGACTGCATGAGCGTGTGAAATTTCAAGGGGTGGTGTTCAAGTAGTGTCAATGAGGCACGCGCAGAGAAGGTTTTCGCTAAGGTAATCACAGCATTTCCAGTAGCAGCTGAATGACGTAGTAAATTAAATCGATTGAATGATGCATTAAGTTGGTGGGGCGCTTGCAGGGCCAGATGCTGACTTTTTAAAAGCGTATTCTGTTCTTTTGGCTTTCTCTTCATTTTGCTGGGAAGGAAGAGCTGCAATCTAGACAGCATCCTGTATTGGTGGGAATTGCATTTCCAAAGAATTTTGAAACTTTGTTCGTATCTTTCCTTTTCCCAGATAAGTAGTATCTTAAAGAAGTGAATGTTATTGGTTATTGAATTGTTGTTATAAAAAAATCAGATGTGATGGCATGTATCTGTTATGTGAAAAAGTACATCATTATTTTTGATAGATCAACGCTCAGAAAAAATACAGGAGCATTTTTGTTGGTAACTGAAACAGTTCAAATCTAGTTATAATTTGGGCTCTACACCTCTTTGCACGGCTCTTTGTATTAGCAAGTCTCTCTACGCAGCCACAGACAGAGCTGTGTTACAGATATTTCGTAGCAAAGGTCCCTGAAAGGCAGATGTCATGTTATATTGATACAGACTGTTATTCAACCCTGTACCCTGCTGGGGTTACCAACCAGGAAAAACAAACAGTTTGGATTTTCATTTCAGTGTCTTTTTGCATACATTAAAGTAGGTAAGTGACCTAAAAGTTCAAGGCAGAGGTTTGATTTTTGAAGGTCTTTGTCACATAAAATGTTACTGAATCCTATTTATGAGACTTGCTAAACCGGGGTCGTTTTATCATTTTCTCATGGAGTGTTGCTACTGTGAGTAATTAAAAAAAAACATCTTGAAGGTTGTGGTATGATATCCTTAACGTTAATTTTTACTATTAACTGATAGTGATTCATGAAATACACTAATGATTACATATTGCGCTGCACGTCCAGTTAGGTATTTTTACACGTTTCTTATATGACGTTTCACTGAGGAAACTTCAGGCTGACTGTGTTGTTGCTCATCAAGTTCATCTGCAGACTGGAATGTCAAAGAACTCAAAACAACATGAGATTTTGTTACTGTTGTGCACAGGTGGGGTCTCTGCCATACCATATAGAAACCTAATATTGCATCTTCCACCGTTTGCTGTGGCAAGGGTAAACAGTGTGTGGGTTTTTGAGCCACAGACAAATTAAAGCGGTTTGAATGTGGTTCTTTTTCTGGGACTGTATCATCTGAGTGGCAATTCCTGTTGGATAGTCCCAGTTCCTGGCCATGGGGATAACTGGGAGAGGAAGCGGCTGCTGAGACAATTTTGCTGGTGCATCTCTGGCAGTCCTGCACAGCCAGGCCACTGCCGTTCCGCATATGGGTCCCCTGGGGAGCTGTTGTCATCTCCTGCCTGCGAATGGCTCCTGGCGTTTTCCCTTTGCTTGCCTCTCCCAAATCTCGTAATGCCCCTTGTAGCCACAAAAAGATTTTGAGACAGGGCTCAAGGGAAGATCGTCCATCTCTATCAAATGTGCATTCTAAGACTGTAGATACATACAGAAATTAAGGTGCATCAGGGGTTTGATTTATAAACCTGTGTGACTAGAACCGAGAGTATCACGTAAGGATGTCTTTGGACTTAAATATGAGGTATAAAATTCCAAACTGAGAGGGATATTTTTTTTTTTTTTGCTAAAAGGAGGCAAACAGTTCAGCAAGCTTTGAATAACTGACTAGCACAGTAATTAGCTATTACAACTAAAAGCAATCTAATGTTTCTTCTGTATCTAGTTTTTTGTGTGAATTTTTCAGAGCTACAGATGGAAAAGATGAGGAATGAATTGTTTCTCCATGCATTTGCTCAACCTGCAAGAAAAGAAATGAGGGTCTCGAGAAAAGAACAGAAAATCACCAGCCATGAAGACAGCAGACATCACTGCTTCACTTGAAAAATCATTCAATTGTTTTTTGAATTTCTCCTCCTTATATTGACTCATGGTGTTGCAAACAGAAAGTCTTTTTCTGACTCCAAGGATTTTCCAACCAAGTGAAATTTTATTCCCTAGGTTATGGTGCTGGGCACACCCAAAATATTAACACTGGACAGTTTTGTGGATTGCGTACTTTTCATTAGAGCTTATGAGGAGTACAGATATGTTGCTTGCACAATACTGCCTTAGGAGAGAGCATCCTTAGAAAGTGCCTGAAGAAGAACTTGTTCCCATTGAAATGACAGCTGACAAGAATTCAAGTATTTCCATAAATTGTTAATAAAAGCATAATTTGGTAGGATACCATTTTCCTGGCATATAGAAGTTGTAACAGGAAAGTTACATTTTATCCATCTGCTGCATTGTGTACGGTTTTAATAATTAAAAAGTGTATTGAAACCTACATAAACTATAGGGTTTAGGCCTAGACGGTAAAATCGTGATATAAATTGCACTTAAAAGATTTATGATTGGTATATATGGAATATTGAGCAAAAGATTGTTATATGATGTGGGTAATTAGCAGACACTCTATAATGAAATGTGCACTTGTGTATTTCGTAGAACCACTAGATGAGCTGAAGATCAGAAGTCACAGCACTGAACCACTACCAAAGCTGGAAAACAAAGAGAGGGGAGGCCATCATGGGACAGCTTCCTCCAGGGAGCCAGGGAAAGCTCAGGAATGGGATGGAACGCCAGGCCCGCCCGTGGTGTCCAGCAGGCTGGGGAGATCCTCTGTCAGTCCAACCATGTTGGCTGGAAGCAACAGCTCAGGTACGTCAAGTAGCAGAGCAGGGAAGATCTCATGAATCTCCTTGTGAGCTGAAGGATCTCTAAAGATACACAGATGCAGGTAAGCATCCGGATTCTTTAGACTTCTAAATATCTTCTACAATCTGCCCTGCCCATTGACTGCTGCACTGATGAGCATTGTGCTGTCTGCTTGTGCTCTGTGCTGGAACAGGGTTGGGACGTGGGCAGGTAACAGAAGCATGTAAACATGCCATTCATCTATTTTAAAAGAAATAAGGAATGCCACTTGAGGTTGAAAAGGGACATTATGGCAAAGACACCCCCAGGATGGCACCTCAGAGAGAAGTTCATAAATTCAGATCTCACATACAGTAACAAAAACACGCTGTGCAGAAACAAGGCTGTCTTATTGATATGCACAGTGAGTGGACACAGCCAGCCTTTGCTTTATGCTTGTACATAAATTTCTAGAAAAGCGACTATGGATTTCAGAAGTCTCAAGTTCATACCTATCCATTTCATTCATCAAGTTTTATATACATAAAACAGTGAATTGCCATAAACCATGAAGAATAATGCAGCCTTGTTTATAAATTGACTAAGACAAACAAAACCGGTAACATGAACGGACATCTATAAACAGATATGTATAGCTCTGGCATAAGCACTGCATTGTTACTTTTTGAGATTTGACTGTTCTCTTAAAAGAGTAACTGCATTGCTTATTGGTTGGATTGTGAAAAATACCCACTTTAAAAACAGTTGGCATATATAGTACTGGAGCCTCACGGTCAATGTTCAGTAAGCATAAGACCATGGATGAGCTACTCAAACAAGGAAATTATTCCTGCACGAGAGATCTGCTGGGCCATCGGTGGCAGAGATGAGTCTTTACAGTGCCGAGCTAGCAGAGATGCTCGCCCCTCGCCCACGGCATCGCTTCCCTGTGTGATAACGGGACTCACATTTTCCCTGCATTGCTGGAAATGACACCTGAAACTCAGTATATAACTTGAATAGGCTTTGCTGATGTGACGTATCGTTTGCAGCAATCGTGTGGTCCAGGTTTTCTTGCTACAGACCCCACAAATAGTCCTTCCTGGGGCAGCAAAAGTGGCTTTTCTGCAAATCCCATAACTCTAGCACAGGTTATTTGGGTGTTACTGCTTTTTGCTTACTTGTCTGTTCTCACAAAGCATCCTGGTAGGTAGGAATTTTCCAGATTAGCTCATAGCTTTGTTAAAAATTCTGTTCCCGATGTATTAAAGCGTCATCTGTGCTAATGCAGGTAAAAGGGTGGGTTTAAAGGTACCACATCAAAGTATCGTGACATCTGATAATTAGACCAAAGGTGTGTACCAACCTTTTCAGTTCTGCGAGATGACAGTACGGAGCAGAATGGAAGAGAAATGAAAATTGAAGAGTAAGTTCTTAGCAAAATATAGCACTTCTGTCCAACCTTCCTGCATCAGTTCTATTTTAAAGAGTTGGTTGATCTCCAAAAGCAGACAAAACATGTTGGCCTCAATCTTCATTTGGCATCAGCAAACTGTAATAGTTGTTGAATCATGCCTTGATTTAGTTAACTGTGATTTTGTCTTACATAGCTAGGACTGTCAAAGAAAAATTATGGAAATATTTTATTGGCTGAATTTTTACTCCTTTTTTATGATTAAAATCTGAGAGCTGATTATGATTTTTCTTTCCCTGCAGTTTTTATGACATTTCATTTGATGAATATTGCCTCTCATCTGCCATGAATATTTTTTCCCCTGTGTCTCTAGCTGTTGCCTGAGCAACATGTTTTACCTTTAATCGGTGGGGCATTGCATTCAAAATGCTGTACACAGTTCTCCTCAATGAACTTGTACATGAACTGTAACAGTTCATTCTTTGCAATTAAATTAGAACTGTAACAGAATACAAGAAGAGAGATTTAATACATCTGTATGGATACAAATGCTTTCTGGAGTCAAGGAGATAAAGTAATTCTGTGCTAGGAATTTACAACTTAGATTTACCACAGGACCAAATAAAAGCAGGGCAGTCCCCAGTACAGTCATCGTTGCTGTTGCTCTCTTTCCAACATCATAGATAAGAGAAAAAAGGCTGCTTTTTTTTGTGGGGACATGTCCTTGAAACACCACAGTTTGCTGCCTGCCTCCTCGTTCACTCTGGTACAGGCATTTATTAGGGCAGTGCTGGAACAATTTAAAGAGAATGGGGTTGAACTGCTCTGCTGTAAAACAGAAAGGATGTGAAAGGACTTCTCATGTGTGCTCAACAGGCAGCTCTGCTGAGGCACAGATTAACTAGGAACTGGAGTGATCTGAGCAGATACCTGAGTGAGAGTACTGATTTTTTTGTGGGTTCTCCCCATCTCTGCACCTGCTAGTAAGATCAGAGGGGGAATGAGCCACCTCCAAACAGAAGCTTGAGCTTTCTGGTCATTTTGTTCAAATGAGCCTGGCCTGTCAGGTGCGGGTGGGTATCACTGTCTGTAACGCCTGATTGTTCTCTCATCTGTCACATAATTTGTCAAGGCCACTTTCTGTTTCTCGCCATCCTATCGTTTCTTATGGAAAGCAGTGTAAGTGGTTTGGGGGCATGCTGGCATTTAGGAAAGTCAGGGCAATTGTAGCGAACAGCCAAACGAGATCTGTGAAACGGAAGGCTGTGATAACTTCACTCCAGGAGCTTTGAAGAGTATTTTCTGGAATGTTGCTGCTTTTTTCCTAACTGCAACCATGAAGCATTTTGCATTGCCACCTGCTGCTAGAGACAGGCACTGCACTGCCTTTTAAATCTCAGATACTCTACTCTGTTGTTGTGTCCTGTTTTTGAATCACCATCAGCTTGTCGCTCAGCCAGCCCATTAGTATTCTAGCTGAACACATTGTAGATAATCAGGAAGGGAGCAAATTCCCACCCTTCGTTGGAGTTACTGGCTAGCATTGTGGATTTGCAAAAGTAATGAATAGTTAAGTTCAAGCTCTTTGGGAATGGAGCAATGCCTGCGAAGCCCAAGTTGCAGGACGCATTCATTGGTACAAGAAGGGAGTACCGGCAGAGTACCAATTCATGCTAGCTAGGGCTGCTTCACTCAAAGACGACTGAGTACTCCCACCAACCCCTAAATTTTCTCCTCACAGGCAATATCAGAGTATCACTGTGCTACCAAATCCTTAAGGATTCTCCAAGTGAAGGCAACTTAATGCTGGAGGTATATGTTACTGGGCAGCCTGCCCAACGAGGTCCAGCCCAGGATGCGATGCTTCCAGACCTTGCCTACACTGGTCATCCATGTTCTCCTCACACAAGCTCTCCCCTAGCAGCGCCTGCTACCTAAAGTAAAACAAGTGGTACTGGGAGCTGTACACTGAGGGCATCAAGCCGGTGCACCACGAGCCGGGTGTGTGATCTTCAGGGTGTAGGATCACGCAGTCACAGAGCCTGACTGTAGAAGTGCACGTTGCTCTCTGCAGCAGTGGCGTTACAGCTATGTGGAACAATGCACAATTGTCCTTTTGATCCAGAGCCCCAAGACTGACAGTAGCCCGTGCCAGAAGCTTCAGAGAAAAACAGCAAGAAATTTTAAGGAAAAAACACTGCCAGTAGGACATGATAATTCCTTACCTCATTGCCTCAGTCATTGACATAGACCTGAGAACATAGACAGTTCGGAACAAATCTTAATTTAAAGCATACCCCATCTAGTACAGACATGGGTTTTCTCATTACCTGAGTTGGTTTTGAGTCCTGCTAAGCTTTTGACCTATGCATATCTAGTAACACTGAGTTCCACAGGTTCAGTGCTCCCTTTGTGAAAACAGTTCAGTTTGACACGCTGCTGTGCTATTTCAGCACTAAGTGGCTTCTGCAGGTGAAGTCCTAAATACTTTTTTTTAAGTGACAGAATACTATATAGTTTATTCCACCTTAAGGTTTCATAATTTCAAGTTATGTTTCAGCTTACTCATCTCTTTGTAGGAGACCAACATGGCCAGGCCAGTATGATGATAATAGGTGTGATTCGTTTTTCCAGTATGCATGTTTTCTTTTTCTTCTTTTTTTTTTTTCTTTTTTGCATGTGATTACTCTCAGCCTGTCACATCGCCTTGTTTAATTCAAAACGTGCTTCTTGGCAGCTGTAGCAAATAAGCAATATTTCTCTTTTCATGTGCAAAGAAGAGACTGTGACAGGATAAGAAGCTTCTCCAATGTAAGTGACAGCCAGAGTATTTTTTTGAATTAAGATTAGGATAGGCAGAATGAAGGCTTCCTTGGATGAATAAAAGAACTCTTCCCATTAAGATCCAGAAATAAAAATCATGCAGAGCTGTTGTATTTCTGGAGAATATAGAAAACTATAGCACATTGGTATAAAACTGATCAAAAATATTTCCATAAAAACTTGTCGCATTTCAGCACTCTGCTTTATTGAGGAAAATCCAACAACACCCCCTGCCCCAAATGCTACCAGCCAAGCCCCTACATCTTTAGTTACGATGACAGCACTTGCACTTTTGGAAAACGGGTCATTTATGTGAGTGCTTAAATACATAATTAAGTACGCAATTTTAAGGCAATCCTATTTGTGATTGGAAAGCCTCTATTTCTGTGTTGGATAGTCTCTCCTAAGATTCTTATCCTTAATGCTGTCCTTCGGAGCTGCCTGCTTGCTTATGTCCATGTGTAATCCTACTGGCATTGTCAGGACTCAGCTTAAACCTGAGAGTCCGGTAATGCTGGTCCTATTGCAGCTGACTACGTGTGTGGGTTTACTTCGTGCTAAGGTGGCTGTGGTCCCAACCACTAGCATTTTTGGGAGTGTTGTGGCTGCTGTGGGTGACAAAACAGGGGACTGAGACACAGCTGACCCGCCATCCCCTACCAGCATTACACTGCATCTGCACCTGGCTCCTGGAGGTGGTTCAGGCGCTTAGCGAGCAGTGCGTTTTTCGTAATATGGCACGGTGTTGATGGATGCATCATCTGAAGCTGTGCAAAATAATACCACCAAAGTTTCACCAGTTAAATATAGCAACTGAATCTTATGAACATTTTTGTGCGTAACGTAACTAAATATGTTATGCAGCTCTCTAGCTCCCCCGAACAATCTGCTGAATTCAAACCTCATGCTGCCCATCGATTGCAACGGGTGTCTCTAATGGCTACTCAAGAGCACTGCATCCCCTGGCCCCAGTCCAGTAAAGCACTTAGACATATGCCTGTGAGTTCCCTAGCTTGGCAGTAGGCTGTTAGCCTTTGTCAGCATTTGGGTGGCTTACAGCAGTGTCAAAAGGCCCCTAGCCGTGGATGCAGAGAGGGTCCCGTGTTCGGAGCGGAGTCTCTGGAACCCTCTTTCGGGCAGGTTTGATTTAGAACCAGAGGATCCACCCGCACAGTGAAGTGAAGCACAGTGCAGAGACGGGGTGCCATGCTAACTTTATCAGTGTGGAGCTAGATGTATTTTAGCTTGCGTTATCATGGGCCCTGAGCAAATGGGTCCTCCTCAGAGGACAGATATCTACAGAGCCTTCCCTATGTGCTTATCAGGCTGGCTGATAAAACTCTGCTCCACACCATGCATCACTGTCACAAAGGGGACTTCTCAAGAAGTCTCAAGACTACTCATTTCAGATGTTAATACTGAGCTGTCTTAATCTCGTCCACATGAGATAAACATGAATGAAACACTAGAAGCTGTCCCTGAGATTTGCTGGCAGAAGTTGTTCTTCCTTTGAGATTCTCAGCAGTAAATAGGAAAACCCATTTTCATTCCAGAACCGGAATCGGTATCAACATGCAGGCCTTGCAGACAAGCTGAAATGAGCATTTAAGACCTCAAAAGCAAGAGGTAAAGATACTGAAAGTCACTGGACGGCGGACATAATTATGCAATAAGACCTCTTACTACTTTTTAGATAGCCCAAAGCAGAAGTTATTATTTGAAGTGATCATTATTATTTTGAGGTGATCAAAATCCACTCAGCCTCAGTACAGTGAATAAGCCGTCCACAGCTGAAAAATAACAGGCTGCAGAATACAGAGCAGTGAGTTGGGCATCACTTATGCAACAGACCATTTATGGATATTTTTTTCCCCGCAGTAGTGTGCAGTGTGAAGATGTTACTCAGAGCACTAATTACAGTAGAATAGAGTATTTATTTGGTCTAAAAATATTCCCACTGAGACCCATGGAATGGCTATTAAAAAAAAAAAAACAACAAAACATTTCCCTTTCACTGCATAACCCAACTTCCTGAACTTGGAAAAAAAGCTAGATGGAGCCGTCTCTGAAACCTCTTTTGGTGAGGATCACTATGGAAATCGCAATAGTTTCCTTAATACTGTAACATATATTACAGGGAGATAAAGGAACTAATACTTCATCTCTGTGTGATAGGTTTTATTTCTTTGATGCCAGATGAAAGGAGTCTCTTTGGCAAGGAAATGGTAATCTCTTGTTGTTGCACATATATCCAAATTGGAAATTATGACACTTCTCTCTGCTTTCCCAAAGCAAAGAAAACAATTCAGAAGCAACGGCAGACAGTGCCTTGGAGTTTTTTACATGCTGGGTGTCTGACTCTGCTTGTCACAGCAAAAACAGAGTCCCTATTTAGCAGTAGGGAAAAACGGGTGTCTGCCTGCTTGTCACAGCAAAACCAGTCTCTATTTAGCAGTAGGGAAAAACAACCAAAACCACCCCACTTCTTGTCCTGTCTGAAACCCCAGCAAAATTCCAGGAGGGAACAGACATGAGATCCATTATTATCTCTATATTACTGAAAGAAACAGTCAGAAATCTGGCACGCAGGCAGTGTGAAATCAGAACAAAAACAAATCTAATCAAACCTTCAGAATAACTGCCCAAGTCCAAAAAAAAGCAAAACAACAGATTATGTACAAAATGCGAGGTTATGGGGGAGATCGGTCTGCTCCCTTCTGCATGCTTATTGCTGTGTTGACTCGTGGTATGTTTACAGACTAACTAGGAATGAGTGAATTGAATAATGCATTCGTCGAACAGCATAAATATTTTTGCTGCTCAGCCAGCTGGATGTTAACCAACCTATTAATATTTAGTTGATGAATATTCACCCGTACAGATGCTTTCATTGGTCTAAGTGCTCCAGCTTAAGTGGATAGCTCTTCTCCATACCCTATTGAATTCTGAAACATCCGAGGAAAATAAGCATTTAAGGTGACAATGAAAAAGCATCAGTGAGATTGGAAGAGCGCATTTCAGCATGTTGCTGGTAGGTGGCGTAATGTGCCAGCTGTCCCCAAGTTTCCAGGGTGTGCCAAGTGACCTTAAGGACGTGCTGGTGATGGACATCTTGTTCCTTTCAAACAATGGCCCAGCCAGTGGCTAGTGATGATACTAGAGATCCACGAAGGGAATAGAGCTATTAGTATAAAACAAACCCAGACAAAGCAGCAGTGTAAACGAGGCACGAGAAAATACATTTCAGAGAGACACAAGCAAAAGATATGTGAGAAAACGTGTGCTTCAAAGGCAAACTTGCTAAACCAGGATCGCACAAGGCATAGGTCCTTCCTCTCTTCTTGAAAACATGAGATTGAATAGGAGGAATTCTTTCAACCCGTTGTAAGGAGGCATGGTATTATTATAGTTACTTGTTATTCATGGTAAAGCAGTACTATCAATGCTAAAATTAAGAGTCTGTTACTGCACAAAGTGTGTCTGCTGAGTGCAAATGTCCATGGTCTCAGTGTTTGCCCACTAAATAGAAAAGACAGGTGCAGGGTTGGGAGGAAGGCTTATAAAACATGAGGAGAATGAACACATTCATCTGAGCCAAAAGTCATGGGCTGAGAGATGTTTCCTCAGCCATAAACAGGAAAAGTAGGGACAAATATTTTTCTTGGGCAGAAACAGGCAGACCTTTTTTCTCAGGAAAAGATAGTTTCTTCTAGACCAGATGTGGGGTGCTGAACACCGGGGTAGCACACTGGTGCTCAGACACAAAAACCTTCATCCAGGACTCCTGAGCTGCATGGTCACCTTCATGTCGGTATGTTAACAGTAGTAACCTGCGCTGGAAATCAACGGGGAGCCTTCTGAGAAATGCCTCCATGTACAACAGCAGAAGGAAAATGAAATAACGCTGTAATTTCTGCACAGTTCTTCTCTCGAATAGAGCTTTCTCTCAAGGCAACCTCTACTTCTGTAATCGCCTTGATTCTGGGGAACTGACTTCAGAATTTGCCGCCGTTGATGTTCTGATTTCTCTCCTTCCTACTTTCTGTCTCTCAGTTCACTGCCATTAACATCAGATTTCCAAGTATTTTTGGTGTCATTCCAAATCCCCAAGTGCGACAGTACCCTCGCCACTTTTATACATGCCCTTCTTCATTTTCTGGCATTTCACGCTTTCCATCAGCACAATCAGTCTTTGGGCTACCATCTCCCTCAGCTCTGGGATGGAGAGATGAAACCAGAAGCTGCTGTAACTCCCTTAATCACCGCTGTATTTTATGAGGAGTAGAAAAAGGCGCTGGGGGGGAGCAACAAGAAGGTTTCCTTTATATGCTTCCTGTCTGTCTGCTGTTTTATGGTCTATACTTCAGCTTCAGAGATGCTAGAGGAGAGGAAAGAGGCCAGGACATGGGGTGGGTTCTGTCTTAATCCCCCTTCTTCTGACCTCAACTTCTGTTCGTGATTCAGCCAAATGCCCAAGACTTTAACTAGAAACCAAGCCTGGAGTCTCCATTTCAAGTGAATCCCGGGTCCACCACGTTTCAGTTTACTGCGGCAGTAACCCACCTCCTGTTCACTGGTGTACCTTCTTCTCTCTTCCTTCGCAGAGCCTAAAGCAAGTTGCAGATTAGGTCGGTCTGCGTCCACGTCAGGTGTGCCTCCTCCATCCGTTACTCCGCTCAGGCAAGCCAGTGATCTCCAGCCGAGCCAGGTACCATCGTTAGCCAATCGTGAATGACTTCATGTGCTGCAACATGCCAAATGTTTCTCACCTCTGTGTCTGTCATTTGTTACAGTAAATGATTTTTTTGGTTTTTGTCTTTATTTTCTGTGCGTGCATCTGTGTGTGCGCATCTCTCATTGGCAATGAAATTCCACTGGCCACAGCCAGTAGAATATTCTTTGCTCTTAATTCCTTGTATCCTTTTCTGTCTTCGTTCTGTAATATAAATGTAGTAAAACTGTACTGTATCAATTGGCTGGTTTTTTTATTTTTTCATGTTTTCTGTACTTTTTTACTGTCTTTAAAATTTATCAAACTTTGATAAATTTAATCTATGTTTTTATGTAAATTTCTTTTAAATGTCTTGTTTAAAGCACTTGCACCAATGTTTGTCAATGACTTGTACATACCTGACTTCTGCCCAGTTGTACTTTAACATTTGTGCCAGTCTCACATTTGTTTTGAGCTTAATGCATGATTGTATTACACTGTGATTTATCACTGTCCTGAAAACTGCTCTTACAGCAAGTTATTTTGTTTAGTTAAGGCAGCTAGACTCTTTTCAGCTATGGGCCATGTAATGCTTACAGGACTATTAAATAGTCCACTGTAGTTATATTTATTGTATATTGTTAGGAATCAAAAACCAAATCAAAGGGGTAACATCTCCTTATATCTTCAACAGAGATACTTTTCTTTTCCCCCTCATCGAAAACAAAAATGCCTCATACACCCTTGAGAAAGAAATGAAAGTGTTTGGGTTTGGCAAATTTCTCCAACAGCGAGAAAATGGAAAAGAAATAAAGACATGGGAAACCTTTATTTTATATGCTAATACTGATATTGTATCATTTTTCCGCGCAGACCTGTATTATTAGTTTGACAGAACTAACTGCTGAGAGTAGCAATTGAGAGAAGAGGTTTCACTTAAACATAACGTGAATGCCTTCTGTCAAGCTCAAAGCACTCCAGTATTGTTATCACTTGTGTGTACGTGTACGGGCCTACACATCACTGTGTATGTGTGTGGGTATATCCATGCACAAAGAGACATAAACATATATGTATATATGTGCTCATACATATATGTACGCACACACACAAACACCCTTATTTAGATGGTGAATTTTCAATTGGCTTTCAGGGAATTAGTCCCCATAATCCTACTGAATTTCAGTGAGAGTTGCGTGGAAAACTCCCTGCGGATGGCTTTGCAGTAATCGCGTATTTAAGTTGTTTGTAGCTTGGTGAGTTGCTTCTAGAAGGTCTTGACCAAAGTAGAGACCAGAAGAGTACGGTTGACGTACTCAATCCAGACAGCCAACTACTTGTTAGGAAGGTTATATTTGGGCAGCCTAGTGCCACACAGGTTAAAATTCTTCAACTTACAAAACTGATGCTATTGTATTACTTCTGAGCCCTGCTGGACACAGCGCCTAACGGAACCTTGCACATTTCTAAAGCAAATTTTACATAAGAAAATCAAATCCATAATGGAGATCCAAAATGACAGCCCATTTAAATACCACGTCACGTGGTCCTTTGTCTAAGGAAGAAATCAGGGTAATTGTACTTCCAAAGGTTTCGAGTGTCCCAGTGTTCATGTAGTATATGATTTTTGAGTAAATGGGTCTTACAGCAGACATGATGCTTTGCCGGATACTCAGTGGCAAAGGCACCTTGGGTGTTTTGAAGGGATTTTAGTCTCTCAATTTATATTAAGAACTAAACAATAAGCCTTGAAAGCAGAAGCTGATGTGATAGAAGAGATAATGAGCCTCTTAGAAGCTGCAGCCAGGGTTCACTGAAACTGTGGAGGAAAAATCCACCTCACTTCATACAGAAGAAAGGAACAAAGATGATAAGAGGAATTTTCAAGTGACTGTAGAAGGTGATCTTGTTAATTGAATAATGTATGGTATGGACATGGCTTCATGAAAAACAAGAAAAACTAGTAAAAGCTTTCTCTCCCCGTAAGTCTTCCCTTCAAGCTGTCAATCTCTTACTGTCCATCTATTAAGTTGTCATTTATTATGATGGCGTAATTTTTTAAAGGTGTGGATTTGACCCTGATTCCAGCGGAATGACAGAAGTCTTATTATCTCCGTGGCAGATACAAACATTACTTTGATTGTGTTCTTTATACACCTATTCTATTTTAATGTGCAAATAATCTATGACGGGTGAAATGTGTTTGGAGATGGCTGGGTTGTTAGCCCGTTCTGAATCTGACATTGTGGCATACAGGGTATTTATTGTCGTGCGCTGTGGCTATTGACTGTATCGATACTGGTTTCCTTAACCACATCGTAATCAGCAGTTAGACTTTCCAGAAGATGAAGAGGACGCATCCTGTTACCCACCTCTTTGTTGATGAGATGGGCGCAGCTAACATTCATACAGGGATACAAGATCTGGGAAAGGGCAGATTACTGTTAATGGGTTTTCTCAAATCTTCATGGATCCCAAACTGATGTTTTTCAAAATGTTTAACTTGGGGAAAAAAATCATGTACGCAACTGAGCTCTCAAGGCCCATCATTTTTAATACAGAATCATTCAAGGAAGTGGTGAGGATGCTTAGTAATTAAAAATAGGTCTGATCTAAGGAAGCTTAAATTATAATTCCAATCAAATATTGGCTAATTATGTAACTATTGACATTTAACTCCCCTATGCCTTATTTTCTTGTTTGTTTATTGGTGTAGGAATTGTAAGGATTAACCAGTTAATATTCACGGAACATATTTATGGTGTATTGATGGTAAGCATTATAGCGATCACTTAAAAATAAAAAGAAAGAGCTTACAAGCAGAGATGAATTATGTGGCTGGTCTCTGATGGAGAACACTTTAAAATTCTGTAGTGTAGCAGCAGCCAGCAGTTACCAACACGCTGAGCCAGATAGGGAGCATGCCATTCTGTCCTTAGTTCTGCTAAATGGTGAGGGCATTTTGAAAGAGCTGGTTGCAGGAAGTAACCTTGGATGAAGTCGTGAATTGACTCAATTTAAACTGAAAGATAAACATAAGTTTATCTTGGAACTGAAGTTGTTGATTGTGTTAAGGACAAAGTTTAAGAAATTAAGGAAGTAGCAGAGGAAGTCAAGGGGAGAGCTTGGAACTGTAATATGGCAGAAGCATGGAATATATTTGAGCTACAGAAGTGGCATATAGCTATATTTCCTAAATACCTATTTTAATATAAATATCCTAAAGAGAGGAGTGTAAGTAGCAGAGAAGCGTTTTAGATATCACAGAATGTAATGCCTTGTAAAGGTTCTCTGGTGTTAGCAGAGAGCTTACAGGGAATGGGAAAATGTTCTAGAAAGTGCAGTAAGTTATATCTTAGAGATAAGAAACATTTGAATAAAATTAGAAGTAGTGAAAGTCCAACGAGTTTGGCCTTTATATGGAAATGAAAACAAGTACCAGTCGTTTGTAGCCATCCAAGTGGACAGAGAACAGTAGAAGTTAACCACCATGTGAGGTGGATAAAGTAGAATAAACACGGTCCAAAGATGCCCCAATAAATAACTCATCATGAGGTGGATAAAGTAGAATAAACATGGTCCAAAGATGCCCCAATAAATAACTCATCACCCATATTGCTGGAGCCTCTGTGCTGGTGCCTGAGACTTCTGTAGCAGGCATGGTCCGGCGTTCACCCTGCAGTGGTAAATGCTCAGTCATATCAAGGGACCCCCAGAGTGAACAAAATCGTTCACTTGTGTAAAGCAAGCAGGGTTTGGAGTCACAGGTATCACTGCGATACAGCGTGTTTCCCTCCCTCCTATCATTCTCCACATCTTCACCTCAGGGTAACAAAGGATGACACTATCGATGGACTCAAAAATGCCTGTCACATACAGGATACAAGTGCGCTGAGCACGTCTGTCACAAAAGAAAACGTTTCAAGCAACCTGCACTGTGGAAGTCCCTCTGCTGGAGAGCAGAGCATCTCGCATCCCTATTTTTAATGTACGTAAAATCATCGCTGGGTCACTGCCAGGCTTCTCTGAAACAGTCTTCAGCACACCAAAAAAACACTGGTTTCCATTTTAAGAAAAAGGAGCCAATATAAATATCTCTAGATTTTTTGCTGCAAATGAATTTTGCAAAGTGATGTTTGTTTCCATTAAGATGTAGACAGCTATTGGAAAATCACGTGTTAAGCGGCACAGCAGCACAGCAGCGCATGTTTATAATGAAGATCCACGATCTGAAGGACAATACACCCTTTGAAAACAAAACTGATAGTTACAATGTGGTATTTCAGCTTTTCTGCAAAGCAGAGCCTATTTTCAGACACATTTCCACAAAACTCTGTACCTTATCTGCAAATGTGCAGCCTCTCTTCATGCTGCCTGTTAGTTACCTGCTTTTTGGGGGGAAGACAGCGCTGTCCTTTACTGTTGCCCTCCTCAAGGTATGCTGTCTTAATTCTGAAGGTTTGCATGCCTCTTAACGTCTGGTGTTTTCTTGTGGGGAGGCCCAGGCAGTGATATCTAGCTCCAATTTAAGCAAGGAAAGAAGACTTAAACTTTCCAGTGACGATCAAAGTAAAATCCAGAAGCCATGCTGAGATTAGAAGGAATAACTCAGAGGAGGGAATGAAGATACAGGGACAGCTATGGATTAAGGAGTTTCGACTTGCATTGAAGGAATGAAGAAAAAGCTAGAAAATATATCAGAATCAACACTGAAATTTTTTGTGGCTTATTTTTTCCAAAAAAATGCAGCTCAGTTCATTACTTGCCTGGTATCTGCCTGAGCCCCCAGCAAGTTGAGACGGCATTTTTCGTCCCCCATACGACCCCATCAGTGAACATGACACAGAAGGCCCACGTGATGGACAAACTAACCATTACCTTCCAAAATTGAGGAGAGCTTTCACTTATTTTATGATTTATCTGAATATAGTATAGCAAAGGGGAAAGGCCTCCCATTTGCAGAATGGACTTGACCATGTAATTGTTGTCTCACACCA